TCTTAGAATGTATTTTTAATTTTAAAGTTAAAAAAAAAAAACAAACAATTAAAATTGATTAAAGAGATAAAATACAAAATAACGAATTTCATTATTTATAAACATTATGCAAATGAAAAAAAAAAAAAACACCGCTTCAAAATAGTTTTCGAAATCTATAAATATTTTAAAAAGTCAAAATAACACGATTCTCTTACAAAATAAATGTTTTAAAATATTTTGGAAATAAAGAATAAACGAAATAATTCAAAAGATTTTTTTTAATTCGGAAATCTAATTCTGTTTATTTAACATTGAAGACACACACACACACACACACACAAAAAAAACAATAATTACTAAATAATATTGTGAACTGATATTAACTGGAAACGAAGTATTTACATCTTTACTATTTTTTTTTCTATTTTTTCCCGCTTGTCAACAATTGATCTTAACACTTGATTTAAGAAAACAGAAACAAGAAAAAAATAAAATTCATTTAGTCATTAGATTTCAAACGTAAAATTGTTGTGAAATTAAAGCTGAAAACCTATTCATTAATTCAGGCAAAATTTTTCGAACCAGCATCCACACCTTTTTTTTAAATGTTCTTTTTCAAACCAACAAAGTAAAGACGAGGATTCTGATTCAAAAAAAAAAAAAAAAAAAAAAATTGAGAAAATAACAGTGGTTTTTTATCACATAATTCTATTTGAAGTTAAAAAAACAATTTCCGAAAACGATAGCATGTAGGAGATATATACAATTATTTATCATAGGGGCGCTTATTTTTTATATATAACAAAATACGCAACATTCACACACACACAGATAATATAATATATAGACAGATATATGCGTGAATAAAGCTGCATGATATTCAGCCGAAAATAGTAAATATGTCAAAAAACGAAATATATATCATGATACTATATAAAGATGTATATATATTCATATAAATTTTTTTTTTATATAAAATATATATATATATATATATATATATATATATATATATATATATATATATATATATATGTGTTGTGTTGTGTCGTTGTATATGTGTGACTAGAAATATTCCAATTAATTACAAATTTATTGTCTCATATTTTTACAAAATCCCTTCATGTTAACGAATATTTTAGAAATATTACAATTTGTTATTCGTTAATATCGAAACGATTATGATAAAAATAAGCAAACATAATGTTTGTAATTAATTTAATCAGACATGTCTAAACTTGTTCACTGTTAATTACTTTGCACACATACATCCACCCACCGCCCCCCCATATATATATATATATATATATATATATATATATATATGATACATAAAAGCTTAATGGTCAAAGTTGGATCAGACCGGTAAAAACTAGTATTAAAAAGTGCTCAATGCAATACACGTTTGAAAAAAATAAATAATATATATATTATATAAAACATATATATATATATATATATATATATATATATATATATGTATATATTTTTATATATATATATATATATATATATATATATATATATATAATCATCATATAGAATTGTCTTGCTAGATCAGATTATGAGTAATTTAGGTCGATCCTCACTGGATGCCTTATACTTTTTGGCCTTGTGCCACATCTAATGTAAATTTTAGAAAATCACTATATTTGAATAAAAAGACAGACCACGTTAAGATCCCATGTAATAAGCTATTTCACCATAACCCCTTTAACAGGGTTCTGGATCATCAGACTTTACTTCCAAAAGCTAAAATGAAAAAATGAAAAGAAATTCACACGTTGGAATCTTAACGTGGTCTGTTTTTATTCAAACATATCTGCTCTGAATTTTACATTGAGCTCTCTGGATATCATCCTCCTCAGGTCTACCGGTTTTGATTACCTAAGTTTTGCATAAACTATAAATATATATATATATATATATATATATATATATATATATATATATATATATGTATGTATATATATAATGTGTATTTCTTTGACTGCCAAGGCACTGCAATTGACAAACGCAGAAACCTACCAAACTTTCCCTGCAACATCAGAGTAGAAAACACAAGTATAATAGCCTCATCCACATGTAAAAAGAAAAGATTAATAATAATGGAAACGCTAATAAGAAAAAAAAAGCCAATACTCAATTACATTAACTATGAATAGGGCCATAGCGTGCTGACCGTGTTTGGAAAATTAAAATGTGTGTGCGTGTTTATGAATATATATTTGATGGTAAGAAATTAAAAGTGTAATTGAAATATAATGTTCAACAAATAAACATGGCAAATAATTGGACTTTATTTGACAAAAGTTTAAAAATAGATTAATATAAGCCGCTTTTGAATAGCAAAGGTATTCTATTCTAAAACCCTTAAGAATCGATTCAAAAATGAAACTTTCCCTGAATTACCAAGGATGAAAATCTTTTGTTACTGGCGAAGTGACCCCGCCAGTGAACCTAACCCTGCCGCTGAAAAGTGATATTTCTAAATATAATTTTAATAAAACGTATAATAAATTAAGAAGGAACTGCGTTTGATTTTTAAGATGCAATTTTTAATAAGGGATTTTTAACTGAGGGTTTTCTTACTTTTAATGGCTCAGTAAAAAAAAAAAAAATCCATTCACAGTTAGAAGGAACTATTTTTTGTAAAAGAAAATATTATTCGTAATAGGATTTATCATACATAAACGATCTTACTGTAACAGAAATCCTGTCTTCGAAGCAAATATCTGTCTCTGTCTCTGTCTCTCTCCCTATATATTTATAATTTATTTCTATATCTTATATATATATATATATATATATTTATATATATATATATATAAAAATAGATAGACCAATAAAATAAAATAAATATATATAAATATAATATTTTATTATTTTCATATTCAGTCTCTCTCTCTCTATATATATATATATATATATATATATATATATATATATATATATATATATATATATATATAATAAAATAAATAAATATATATAAATATATATATGTGGTTGGTGTGTGTGAGTGTGTGTGTACAACTAGGTCAAATGTCTGGGTTTTTAAAAGTATTTGAATTTTGGAGAATCGTCTAAAAATTGAAGGTTAAACCATTTTTTCAAAATTAAGTTACCAGCTAACTTCTGGCTAGAGAAACTTTTCTTCCTGAAGGGTTTTTATCATATAGTCAATAATAATAATAATAATAATAATCATTATAAATACAAAGACCTTCAAATAGAAATCTCAGAACTTTGGCACATGAAGACATCAATAATTCCAGTTGTAGTTGGAGCGCTCGGATTGATTCGAAAATGTTCCGATAGAATCATTGAAGGAATTCCTGGTAGCGCATGCCTTAAAGAAATACGAAAAAGTTGTACTTACAAGTACAGCTCACACAATACGAAGAGCTTTATCTATGCAAAATATGTGTGATCGATCTTATTTTTTTTTTTTTTTTTTTTACAAAAAATGTTCAGTAGAAGACGTCATTAAGCCATTTCTGACCTTAGGTCTGTACTTGGGACCCAGAAGGAATTGTACATACAAAAGAAACCCAAAGAATATAATAATGATGATGATGATGTTACTAAGGAAAGTGCTATAAATGAGAATTCTTCTATACTGCCTGAGGACCATAGTTTGGACCCGGCTCCACAGGATACAAAACAAGAAATATAACACACATAAATAATAATAATAATAATAATAATAATAATAATAATAATAACAACAACAATGAAATTATTCCATTACTACATAAAATTATTACGAGTTATTTTTGCCTAATCTAACTTGCTGACTGGTGGAAATGTTAAGGCAGGCGGACTTTACATTTTAGGTAAACTTCTCCCCCACCCCCAACTCGAAAAAAAAATTGTACCCCCATGCACAAATGTGTTAAATAGTTTCATCATCCTAAATTAGTAGAAGTTCAACCCCTCCCAAAACTATGAATTTTACTCATTATCAAATCCAGAATGTAATCCCATAATTTTGGCTTATAAGGTATATATATATATATATATATATATATATATATATATATATATATATATATATATATATATATACCAATTAGAAGATCAGGAATATCTCTACAACGCCCATGTATTATTTATGAAAAAATCAGTTATTTATTTATTGTCAAAATATAATATAATTTCAAAGGCATTATTAGTTTATTTAAACGATTTTTAAGTTATTAACTCGATATGAACCCAAATCAGCACTCGACTTCAGGAACCAAACTCAATTAAACATCTTCATTAATAAAATTTATCCTCGTTTAAAAAAACTTAATCCCCGCCTTTCTCTCTTCTCTATATCTCTCTTCTCTCTCTCTATATATATATTATATATATATATATATATATATATATATATATATATATATATACGAGTGATAGAATTGTGTTCTTGTTAGAGAAAGGGAGAGAGCAGTTCTCTTTTGTAGGCTGATACATGAAGGAAAACATTGTAAGAAACTTGTTCAAGGGTCAGGTGTCTTGACATTGTGTTTAAAATAGACCACTTTTGTCACAAATCGTTTAGTAAATCGGCCGTAACATGAAAATTCATTGCCAAAACTATGCAAAAAATGCTTTGAAGATAAGTTTTTTGTTTTTTTTTTATATATATACTTTAAAAAATTCACTTAAACCTGAGGGTGTAAAGACAATTGTTCGTTTTTTCTATGTAAAATCAAATACCCACAAACATACATACATATATATATATATATATATATATATATATATATATATATATATATATATATATATATATATATATAATTAATATAAATTTAACCAACTATATAGGAACACCGGAGAGAAAGGGAGCACAATTAAAATTAACTGTCAGGGATTAATATATATATATATATATATATATATATATATATATATATATATATATATATATATATATATATATATATATAACACACACACACACACATATATAATGTATATATATATATATATGTGTGTGTGTGTATATATTTATATATAGAGATTCAATGATAGATAGATAGATAGATAGATAGATAGATAGATAGATAGATAGATAGATACTATGCAAGTTATTATATTTGTTAATAAATTCATTTGAACTATCTAAACCTCTGAGGAAGGGACAAAATCTGCGAAACTCGAATGTCGGGAAAACTAAGTGTTTAAACTTATTCTATTTGCTTGCTATTAGGTCCCTGTCTTAATACTAATCATATTATTTACAAAGACTGCCTACCTTAAACGTGATATTTTCCCAAGAATTATTATCCTTATGGTTTGTCTGGGAGATATGAACAGAATAAGATAGGTAGATAGATAGTTATATGTATGTATGATATGACTTTAATATATTTATAATGTTGAAAGTAACCATTCTTTACGCGACAGACACAGGACGCAAAACGCAAATACGTTATATTCAAGAAAATATTTATAATTCCTCCAAACCTCTTTCAAAGCCGAAACAAATTTTATGGGTTAGAATTGAAAAACAACGACAGAATGACTCCTGTCATATTTTTATTCAAGGGGTTTAGTAAATAAATGAAAAATTGACAATCTTTCTATTAAATCAGTCATTACCTTGAATAATTTTTTTTTTGAATTTGAATTTGGTCTTAGACTTATCTCATGGAGGAGAAAAGGGATTAAAATTCCCAATGATAAAAAAAAAAAAAAAAAAACAAGGCAAAAATATATCAATATTTCATTTATAAAATGGCATTAAATTTTCGAGTTTATTCAAAGCATCCTAAAATAAGTTCACTTTAAAGCGATAAAATGGCAAAAATGTTTAAAATTAGTACTTTGAAAGCGAAACAATGTTTAGCTTTGCAAATTAAAAATCAGTTCTAATCTCGAAATGCTTCGGGGTCAACGGCATTGAGGCGAAAAATAAAAAAATAAATAAAGTAATAAGAGAGATTCTCAAGAATGAAACTTTCTCAATTCTTCCACACTGACTCATTAATTTCGGAAATTATCTATAATGGCACCATGCAACAATAATAAAATTATTATTATTATTAATATTATTATTATTATAGCAATAGTTTTTTTTATTTAATAGAGAGATAGATTGATATGAAGAATCATATATAGATAGGTAAACAGGAAATTGAATCAGTTTAATTTAAAATTGTAACAATAATGTTATATAATTATTATCATATATCGTATGAAAACAAATTGAATAATAATAAGTTACAAAAGATTTCAAAGCGAACAGGCATCAAGATCAAAACAAGGGAATAAGAGAACAGATACACATGCACTGACACGAATTGTATATATATATATATATATATATATATATATATATATATATATATATATGTGCATACACAATTATGTATAGAAATCAGACATTAGGGAGTAAAGTAGGCCTCTTCGGGTCAAGATTATAGACAAATGATTTTCAATAAAATGCTTTTCCACTTTGATCTTTCCACTTTTGTTCGGATTCTAAATCCTACAGACGTGTTCATATATCATTGTTACGAGAGTGGACTAATAAGTCTGTAGCATAACAGATATGGGTTGAATTTTGGATTTAGTTAAGAAATCTGATAACATTTGAGCATTAATCATACTTTTTATTATTCCGCTCTGATGATGAGGGTGTCTATCTTGATTAATTATTACCGAAACCTTTAATGGTATATTTTGTTTTATATATATATATATATATATATATATATATATATATATATATATTTATATTTATATATATAGAGAGAGACACAGAGAGAGAGAGAGACACACACACACACAGACAGACTGACAGAGAGAGAGAGTGATAATTTGAGAGACTGCTGTTTTTTCAGTGGTTTCCTGATAGAAATGGATTTAAGGCAAGCAGGATTTGTGATAAAGTGCTCAATATCGAAGTTAGAGATAAAGAGTTAATAGAATTAACAAGAAATGTTTTACATAACTGGACAGTATCTCCGTCTTAAGTGAAAAAAAACAACTTTCCATATTAATTATATGTATGTGTGTGTGCAATGTGTTTGTATGTATGTATATCAACACACATAAGAAAAATTATTAAAATATATATATATATATATATATATATATATGTATGTATATATACATAAACAAATATGTATATAAACATATATATATACATACATATATACATATATATATATATATATATATATATATATATATATATATATATATATATATATATATATATATATATATATATATGTATGTATGTATAAACGTTTATGGAGAATACATAATAAAGATTGAAGCTTGACTGTGAGTTTCATCAGGAAATTGTTTTCCCTCAAAGTCGCCCATGTTGGCAACTGATCTCTATCAGTATAGTCAGAATGTTTATCGCACACCTTTCTGACAATGAGCCTTGTTATCATCGATTTCTTGTGAGACATCAATGATTGTCTGCCTCCAGATGGCGATAGCGGGATAAAAGATCTGAATAATTGATAAGGCGTTTTATCCCTCACTAAAACACAGCCCTCTACCGTGAGTGGCCCCCTTGAGCTTTATGTATGGTGGACATTAGAAAAGAATTATACATATATTTCTAAAAAGAAAGGAGGAGAAAATGCAAGACAGACATTGACTTATATATATATATATATATATATATATATATATATATATATATATATATATATATATATATATATATATATATATTATACGCACACACACACGTATATAACATATCTATCTAATTTTTCTGTCTCTGTAGGTCTCTCTCTCTTGCTATACATAGTATGGATAGAAAGCGACCGATATCTCTCTCTCTCTATATATATATACATACATATATATAGATAGATAGATACACACACACACAATTATATATATACATATATACGCGTCATATATAACATATCTATTTATCTATTTTTTCTGTCTCTCTCTGTAGTTCTCTCTCTCTCTCTTGCTATATACATATATATAATATGGATAGAGAGTGAGCGATATATATATATATATATATATATATATATATATAGATAGATAGATAGATAGATAGAGAGAGAGAGAGAGAGAAAGAGATAGATAACTATTTAAATACTAAAATAATACATCATATTTTTTAGAAATAATAAAAATTATTATTATTATTACTTTTTAATCATTTCACCTCAAGCGACTCAGTAAAATCACTAAGACGCAAGCCGTTACTGAGTGTAAAATATATGAAAAATAATATATATATATATATATATATATTATATATATATATATGTGTGTCTGTGTGTGTGTGTGTGTGTGTGTGACCTAGCGGACCTGAGTATTTGCCAGACTTAAATAATTTCATACTGTAAAAAAATTCATAAGTAAGAATTATATAATTCTAAGTAGAATTATCAGTAGATTATATAAATTTTTATGTTGTACAAATATTCTATTACAAACTTCACAACTATTAAAAATATCTAACAAAAATATTTGAAATATCCGAAACAATTCCATGAATCACTCTCACTCTGGAGCATAGAAAAAAATCTTTCCTGACGGTATATATATCAAATGATTCCAGCATTATATTATACCTATTCAAAAGATTCTTTTTGCAAATTGTTAATCTTGAATTTCCAGTATAGAAATTCAAACATAAAACGCAAATTTAAATGTTTTGGCAAATTAAAACACGTTTTTCAAGTCATAAAATAAATATCAATATTTAATTTGCGTCTAAATTGCAGGAATGAACAGGATTGAAAAGAAATAGATATTTTTAATCCTTCTCCTCTTCAAAGGTAAATTGGATTTCCTTAAACAGTTTGATTGTCATAAAATCTGGCTTCATTAATGGTATTAATTATAGCTCCGAGTCTAAGGAAATCCTTTTAAAAAACATTTAATAGATTATAGATTTTTAAACACGCCATACATAATCCAGTAAAATATGCATATATATATATATATATATATATATATATATATATATATATATATGAAAGAAATATTAGTTTCCTTACTAGAGGCGAAAGCCTATAAAAAACATTTTTTGAAAGAATAAAAAGGCATACGCATCTTAATGTAAAAGAATGAATGTTTATAGAAAGACTTGAAACTAATTCGATATTTGTTTAAATGACACTTAACATGAAAAGTTAAAAACATTAAAGACAAAACGGCTTGAGAAAATTTAATATACTCTGAAGCCATTTTTTTCATTCTATCATTCAATATGGAAATACAAGGTAATTAACAGTAATGCATTTAATTGATTTGAATTTGAATTTTTGTTATTTATTATTAACTTTGAACTGACTTTCACTTATGAATCAGTGAGTTCGATATAAATATATATATATATATATATATATATATATATATATATATATATATATATATATATATAAAAATATGTGTCCAAATTTATAACCATTTTATTTCGTTACTCATATATATATATATGCTTGCGTATATAAAGTATATTTTGGTAGGAGTTCTTTTGCATATATTCGTTAAAGGGAATATCTTGAGAGTTTTTATTTAAGTTTTTTTTTTAATACTTTTTCTTTTTTGACGAATAAGTGCGTGGAGAACCTGTCCACAAAATTCATTGTCCCGTGCCCTTTCGACAAACACTTAGGCATTTTCAAGGGTGGCAGATTAATTGTTTGTTAATAAGGATTAAGAACTTTATTTTGTCTTGTCTTGTTTTCTCTAAGCTAGATTGGGCGAGAAGCATTTTCTGTCGTAGTAATTTTCCACTTAATGGAATTTTCTACATATTTTCTGAAAACAGCCAAATCATTCTGGCCATGTTCATAATCGCTGTTAAATAGCTATTTGTGGTATTTACATACATATATATATATATATATATATATATATATATATTTGTACATTTTTCTATCTATCTGTTAATCTATCTATCTATCTATATATATGTGTGTGTGTGTGTGTGTGTGTGTGTGTGTGTGTATCAAGTCAAATATCAAGGTTTTTGATTTGATAAATACCCTCAGAGGATGAAACCCGTCGGCTAAGATTAATTTTCCTTTGTCTTTTTTTCATATATATATATATATATATATATATATATATATAT